GGTGGTGGTGGTGGTGGTGGTAGTAGTAGTAGTAGTAAACTACGTGTCTTGTGTTTACGACAAGGGTATTCTTTATTACGTAGTTATAACTATAAAACGTGGGAAAAGAAAAATAAATAGCTTTGGTATAGCTGTGAGATAGCATATGGCTTTTGTGATACCTTCATCGGTGGTGTATCTCAGTCTATCTGCTTGGATGTTGTATTCCTCTCAACACACTTGCAAAGACATACAGGGAGAAAGAGAGAGAGAGAGAGAGAGAGAGAGAGAGAGAGAGAGAGAGAGAGAGAGAGAGAGAGAGAGAGAGAGAGAGAGAGGGGGGCGAGGAGAAATAGAGAGAAAAGGAGATATATAGACATAGATACAGAAACAGAAAGAAAGAAAGATAGAGAGCGAGAAAGAGAGAGAAAGAGAGAGACTTGTGTTGCCCCTGACAGACAGGATCGAAGCCTGCTTCCTAAAGGGTCTCAATTGTATTGATTGGGGTATAAAACCACCTACATTAAAATACATATTTGTATTATTATTATACGTGTATTAGTATACGTTTACCCAAGGTAGATAACTGAGTACTGAATCCAAAAGCTTGAGATACCAAGACAAATCGTATTACTTTCCCTTCCCTAAAGTGCCAATGGTATCCATCATTATAATTGAAGACCCGAGAAGAAGACTGTGCCTACGTCAATTTTTCTGAGCAGAGAAAGTCGACAAAAACCACGCACTTTAGTCTATGTATACTTTGGGATACACTGCAATTTTTTCCTCTTTTTCGATTCACCGTAAACGGTAGAGTGTCATGTACACTATCAACAGACGATAATAATAGATAACATAATTTGTATAGCGCAAATCCCCGCTCAACAGTAAGCTCTATACGCTTCACAATCTATAGTATTACTCGTACCACAGCAGACCTGAGAGCATTCTGAAACTACCTCAACTTCCTGGGAAGCATACAGTGCAAGCGGCCATTTATAGGCGCTAAAACACTTACATACAGATAAGATATTTCGCTGTCTATGGCCAGATGTGGGAAAGTCTTCTCTATCTATAGATACAAGAACTCAATTTTTGCCATTTTGGACTAATTCACATTACTGTTTTCAGTTCTTAAATTATTTTTTCAATGCTGGTGTTTAACGACGCCATCTACATAGTTTTATGTCGTTTAGGAGGCAGGCTGCAACCCTATCTGTCAGGGTCAACCGGGGCTGAGAGGTTGAGGTATACAACATCCCAGCAGAAAGTCCGAGATTCTCGAAAACAATAATCCCCACTAGAGAATTTAACTTAGGTCTCCTGCCTGTTATAGCGAAGGGCTTAACCACTACACCACAGGCACCAATACTGAGCTAGAACGATGGTATTGTGGGATCGCATTACTGCAACAAATGAACGATCGGTAACTACAACATTTTCCCTTTTTAATAATTCATTTCAGTGTGCGGCCCAGCAGTCAATCTTACGTTCGAGGGCAACTTCGAAGATCAGTCTCACGTCCATCAGCCCGTTGACGTCACCAAAGTGGGCGTGACCAACACAGGCACCGCCTACTTCAATGGGCGGGGCTATCTCAAACTTCCTAATTTCGCTTTCAAAGACTTTGGAGACTCTCTCATGATCAAACTGAAATACAGGAGAAAGGAAGACCCCATCCCATCACAACAGGTTAGGCATTATCATTCCGTTGGTTTGTTTTGCTTTATTCTTTATGTCTGATTTTTTTAAAAAAGCCTTGAAGTATAATTTTGACGTGGATTGTGATTTAACCCCCCCCCCCTCTTCCATTTTAATTTGCATATCTTTACAATTTACTTCTCATTCTCATTTACATATCCTTCTAATTTATTTTTCATTCAACTTCACCCTTCACTTTAATGTAAGTGTCATTCTAATTCTTTGAAGTTTCCATTGAATCATCAGTCGTTCTCATTTACCCGCCATTCTAATTCATCGTTTATTTTAAATTAATTTCCCTTTCATTTTAATTTACCCGACATTATAAATTTAAATTCCCTGTCATACAAATTTATCTGCCATTCTGGGTCCAACTGTTATCTTAGTTCCCCTTTCTTTTTAATTTACTCATTATTCATTCTTAATTAACCTGTTAATCTAACGTATTAAGTCATTCTAATTTACCTGTCGCTCTAAGGTATTTTGTCATTCTAATTTACCTGTCGCTCTAATCTACCCATCTCTCTGATGTCCGCGCAGAAGTGGAACGACCACTGGACCTGGGGCTTCCAGAACTACTACAACAACATCAGCAACATCGGCCAGACGAGCCGGGTCGTGAAGGGGTCCGGGCCCATCGTCGTTCCCAACAACGGCCAACCCAATGGTGTGTGTGTGGGGGGGG